AAAAAAAAAAAAAAAAAAAAAAAAACAAATTTAACATTGCCGGGAATTTAGCTCAGTGGTTCTGCCATTTGCCTTGGAAGCACAAGGTCCCAAGTTCGATCCCCAGTACCAAACAACAAAACAAAAGCAAAAACAAAAAAACACAAGGCTGCTGGGCGTGGTGGTGGTGCACACCCCTAATCCCAGCACTTGGGAGGCCGAGGCAGGAGTTCAAGGCTAGCCCGGGCAACATAGTGAGTTCAGGGCCAGCCTGCACTACAAAGAGAGATCCTGTCTCAAAAAAACAAAAATAAATTTTAAAAAAATACAAGGCCTATCTGAAAAAACTTAAAGTTGTCTGTTAGTTCACAGGGGTTTGAAGCTTGTGGTCCTTCTGTGTTCTGCTATGTCAGGCGGTTTGAGTTTTAACCTGGGGAGGTGAATCCAGCTATTTTGTGTTATCTTAATGATAAAAGAAGTGGTTAATAGGGTTGTGAGATTATGTATTAAGTGGTATTTTCCTGATGACTCTTTCATGGGTTGGGTCTGAGAGCACCCCTGGATCTGAGCGTCCCCCGAGGCTGAAATAAGGAATTTAACCAATCTCTTTAAAATAACTATGTAGGTTCACTGACTCCTGTCATGGAAAAAGAATCTTCAGTATGAGTCAGTCAAAGAGGCATGGGAAAGATTCGTCAGAGGTAGATACAGGACGCACTTAGGAGCAGAGTGTGGGTGCTCAAAGAAACAAGGCACAAGACAGTTGGGAACTGGGGGTCTCTTTCATGTTTTGGGAAGTAGATGTCGGTGGAATTTCATAAACTATAGTTTGGGTTTTAGTCTTAGTCTTAGTGGGTGGGCGACTAAGGCCCCAGGGTAAGTAGACCCAGACCTAGCATGGGGAGGACTCAGGAGGTGGCCTTTTATATCTCCTGCAGGTACCAACTGAGCAGGACACTGAGGAAGGTAGTTTGTGGGGTGGAGGAGGAAGCTCCTGAGAGAGATGATGACTTGTAGGGCACACAGGTCAGGCCTCTGTACAGGGCCAATAAAGGCTTAAATATAAGGCGCCTCTGACCACTTGTCTTCTTACGGTCGAGATGTAATTGATTGTTTTTTGTTTTTTTGCTTTTTGGGGCAGGGTCTCACTATGTAGTGAGACTGACCTGGAACTCATTATGTAGTTCAGGCTGGTCGCGAACTCACAGTCACAGCGAACCTCCTGCCTCAGCCTCCCTAGTGCTGGGATTACAGGTGTGCGCCACGGTCCAGATGTAATTGAAATAAATATGGTGCTCTAGTTCAGGCTGCCAGGAGGCAGCCATGTCTCATTCTCCCCAAGTGGCCGGGGATTAACTCCCTGTTCCATACACATGAGGTACTTAGACTAGTCAAAACCACAGACAGAGAAAGTAGAAAGGTAGTTGCCGGGGGCCGGGGGGAGGAAGAACAGGGAGTTAATTGTTTAACGGGCATAGAATTTCAGTCTAGCAAGATGAAGAGTTGTAGCAATGGATGGTGGTGATAGTTGCAATACAGTATGAATCTACTTCATGCTGCTGAACTTACACTTAAAATGGTTAATATGGTAAATTCTGTTAGATGTGTTTTAGCACAGTAAAAATTGGAAAATTACTTTTTAAAAGTTTTATTTAGAGGTGAGGAGACATGCCAGGGAGTGCTGTGAGATGTCGCTGTAGGCAGAATGTGCTCCTGTTTTGTTTTGTTTTTTGTGGTACCGGGGATCGAACTCGGGTCCTTGCGCTTGCGAGGCAGGCCGCCGAACCGCTGAGCTCAATCCCCGGCCCGTGTGCTCCTGTTTTGGAGCACTGCACAGGAAACATAGTCCCAGGGAACCGTTCCACTGGCTTTTCACTTACAACTTCTAGTAGCTTATGATTAAAAATCATAATTGCGGGGCCAGGGATTGAGCTCAGCGGTTCGGCAGCCTGCCTCGCAAGCGCAAGGACCCGAGTTCGATCCTCGGTACCAAAAAAAAAAAAAAACCCACAAAAATCATAATTGCCACATGGAACAGCCTTGAAAATGAGCCGTTGGTAGCACCAGAATTAATGATCCTGGAAAAGACATTTCCGTGTTGAACATGGCTTCAACTGATGACATCGTTCCTGTGACTAAAAGTCTGTGAAGGGTTCAGTCCGCCTCTGTTTGCCTGGGGCGCCTCCCTTGTTCCAGTCCCGGTCCAACTTAAAGATGACATTGCATAAAGCCGAGACTATCGATAAATCAGACAAGTCTGAACAGTCGGGGCCCACAACGAAAACAAACTTCCTGAGCATTCTGCCAGTTTAGCGAAGAAGAGATGGGACAGGCAGGGGTGGCCTACACCGCGGTCTGGGAAGCCGTATCTTGGTGGCCCCATCCCAGGAGATCTAGCGCCCCGAGAACACTGAAGGGGGCCGTAGAATGGAGCGAGACTCTGTTAGTGACCTCACGACAAGCTGTCCCCAGGGAGGGGCTGGGAGGGTGGCAGAATCAGAAAGAAAATAAAAGGATTGTAACAGCGAGATCAGGCACGAGTTAACTCCATGCTTATCTCGGGCCGCGACCGCATCCAGATCTGGTAAAATGCAGCCATCAGGTGGAATTCACGAGACTGAGGGGGCATCGAGAACTTGGGCACCACGTAGACCCTTCGGGGAGCCAAAACTCGACTTGGAGGAGCGCGCTGTGGAGTTGGAAGCTTACAAACCTCCAGAATTGGGTGGTCCAGGGAAGGGAAAAGTCACGGGTGGGGCTGGAGCCCGCGTGGGGTGACCTGGTAGAGAAGGGGGAACTCACAGCATTCACCTCCTGTCTCACATCCAGCTCAGGTTCGGATCAGGCGCTCCCAGCTCTCGCGGCTTCTGTCAGTCCTGAAGGTTGCATCAGATACACAGATGCTGGGGACCAGCGCCTCTCACCAGAACGTCCCCTGCTTCCCCTCTGGTGGGTGGAACTGCACTTTCAGCACTGGCTCTTTCCTCTCTACAGGGCGGGAGGTGCTCATTTAAGAAGACTACTGGGGAGCAGAAAGGGTTCTGAGTGAAGAGAGGACAGAAATCTGGGTACATTGAGGAAACCCCTCCAAAAGGCATCCGGAAGCCGAGATCTGAGGAATCCAACAATGTGGGTTACGGGCTTGGGAGCGTTTGGGAAGGCTGAGTCCCGTGGGTCTCCTTAGCAGGAGCTGGAGAAAGGCAGGGGCTTTTACACAATCCTAGAACCTCACTCGGAACAAGGAGTGTTTCCGGGAGCACTGCAAGTGTGATACTAACCAGTGTAACCGAACCACTTCCTCCCTACTGAGCTCAGGGACCCTGGCCGTAGTCTTTCTCTCGAGGTTCCTGGCTTTAGTCCTGCACTAGAATGTGATCTCTTTGGGGAAAAGGGATTTTGTCACAGTTCTAACTGATCGGTCTCCAGTACCAGAACAATACCTGATAATTGGGAGATAGTCATTGACTAAATCTTCCTTTGAGGAAAAAAAACAAAGCTCAGGAGCCAGCGATTGGCAACAGGGCCTCCCATCCCTCCAGGACTAGCACACCTCTTTGCAGGGCAGGAATTCTTATGTTAATTGGGGGCTACTGGGGATGGAACTCAGGTCCTTGAGTGTTTGCAAGCACGCAGAGAAACCACTGAGCTAAATTTCCAGCCCTCTTATGTTAATTTTTGCAAAGATATGGCGGGAAAAGTTATACACCGCTGACACGGATGCTATGATTCCTGCGCCTGACAAACTCCCCATTTTTCTTGCTCCTTTCCTCCTGCTGGTCTTGAACATCTACCTGCAAAATCCCTAGAGTTTAGACCTTGATGAGAAAAAGAGAAATAAAAGATGAAATGCACGTGATTCCTAAGTAGCTGAGAACTGTGTCCTCTTCAAGATGGCCCTGATGACGGACACCCTGCTGCTGTGGCTCTGCCTGCTCTTCTGGGCCTGCTGCCTCAACAACACCAAGCACCAAGAGCTTCTCTTGCTTCCAGAAACCCTAGGCTCTCTCATTCCTGTCCAAACTTCAGCCTCACATCCCCGTTTTTAACCCAGGCCTGCTTTGTGCTCTCAACCCAGACCCGAATAGTTAGTGCTCATGCTATCAGTTCCTCTCGGACCCTTCCATGAGCCCTGGCTCCCTGGCTCCCCAGTATTCAGGTTCCTGAAGCACTTTCTCCATGGAATCACCTTCCCCCACCCCCAAAAATCCTTTGCACAAGGTATTGGGTCCTCCCTGAATTATACTACAGTATAATTCTTGGGTTTGAGCCGGGCATGGTGTCATATGCCAGTAATCCCAGCATTCAGGAGGCTGAGGCAGGATGATCGCTGTGAGTTTGAGGCCAGCGTGTGGTACATGGTGAGGTCAAACCTAGCCTGGCTTACATGGTGAACACTGCCTCAAAAAGCAAAAACAGTAGCGCCAGGGATTTAGCTCAATGGTGCTGTCACCTGCCTCACAAGCACAAGGTCCTGAGTTCAATCCCCAGTACCAAAACAAAACAAAACACTAAGGAAGGGTGTGTGTGTGTGTGTGTGTGTGTGTGTGTGTGTGTGTGTTTCAGTTGTATCTGATGTGAGAAAGTGAGGGGAGGAGAAAGAAGAGACCAAATCTATTAGAAGAAATTACAGTCCAACAGAGAGGAACCTCCTGAATCCAGCTATCCCGGATTTAAATTTCAGGAATTAACAATGGGCCAGAACAAGCCTTTTGTCACAGCCTGGCATATGACTCATTCATCATTAAGCACTTAGAGCGTTAACCTAATGCTACATAACTGTCTGCCGGCTTCTCGCGCTGATCTCCCCTTCCTGTTATTCATGTAAAGAAAAGAACTTTAGGCCAAGGGTGGAACCTTTCAAAATGGCAGCTGCCTTCCTTGGGAGAGACACAAATGCCCCCATCTAAGCTGGGACTCTCCTTCCTCTTTTTCTATTGACCGATCCCTCCCATTGAAACTGAGAGGTTAAAAAGGACCTTTAAAAACTAAGCTTTTTTTTCCAGTGTCCTTTTGCTGAGTATGGAAACTTCCACCCCCAGCGCGGGCACCGAGCTGGTTTCAACAGAACCAGATTTTCAACATTTCCTGGGCCCTCTGCTGGGCCGAGGCCTAGCTAAGTATTTCCTGGCTTTTGTTCACCTCTTTTATAAGTCGAAATGCTTCTGTGCATTCAAAGCGGGGGTGAAACAGGCCCCCAGTTTGACCCAACTGTGAATAAACTCAGTTTTTCATTGTTATGGGTTTTTTCTCCTACTGTTGAGGGTGGACAGGCAAAGAGGTCAGACCGGCAGGGCGCAGATTCTGGGGGACAGGCTCCAGTGTACCTCTCCGTGTGTGAGCTGTGGTGAGATTTTTGGACACCTCAAGTTTAGGATTTTTGAGGCAGGGTCTCACTGTGTTACTCATGCTTTCTTGAACTTGTGGACTCAAGTGAAACTCCCACCCAGCCTCCCAAGTACCTAGGGCCACCACAACTGGCTTCCACTGTTTTCCTTCTGAAGCCCATATTTCCCAGGTCAGGATAGTCCAGGAGCGAAAATAGAGCCACAGAATTATTCACTAAGCAATTATTTCTCTTCTTCCTCATGTTCACTGCTCTTCCTTGAACTTTTTTCCCCCTTTTTTAGTTTTTGAGACAGGGTCTCACTATGCAGCCCAGGCTGGCCTCCACCTCAGACCTCATGGCAATCCTCCTGCCTCAGACTTCCAAGCGCTGGGATTAAGGGGTGTGCCACCACCCTTGACTTCTTCCTTGAACTTGTCTTTTTTATTTTTCTCCCTCTCCCTTGAAATTCTTGCCTATTGGATTTGCTCTGTTCGGCTTCATGAAGTTGTGACCTTCACTGTCATTTTCTAGGATATTTAAAAAATTATTTGGAGTGCTGATTTTGTATTCTTTTCTTTTTTTTGGTACTGAGGATCAAATTCAGGCCCTTATGTGTGCAAGGTAGACACCAGAACCACTGAGCTAAATACTCGGCCCCTCTCCACTAATTTTGAAAGATAGTTTTGCAGGATACAACAGCCTCGGTTGGAGGTTGTTTTCTTTTAAAGCTTGAAATACCTCAGTCCAGGCTTTCCTTGACTTAAGGGTTTGTGTTGAAAAGTCTGCTGTGATTCTGATGGACTTTCCTTTGCATGTGATTTGTTTCTTTACTCTAACTGCTTGTAGTATTTTGTACTTCTGTTGGATTTCCGGAATCTTAATTATTAAATGTCTAGGGGTAGATTTTTTTTTTAATCAGAACTAGTTGGAGTCCTATATGCCTCACTTATCTGTATGTCAAGTTCTTTTGCTCTGTTTGGGAAGTTTTCTGCTATTACTTCTGTGAACAGTTTTTTGTTTTTGTTTTTTTTTAATGTTATTTGTACTTTCTCCTGCTTTTTTTTTTTTTTTGGACTCCTATTAATTTTATATTATTCTTCTTTGCATCATCTTTTCAAAAAAGAGTGCTTGGCTTCTACTTTATCTAATTATACCAGCTGGCTGCCCTCAGCGCAGCCCTGGCCTTGGGGATCCAGGCTGCTATGATGGTGGCCCTGGTGCCATGTTCCCCCAGTACTCTGCTGGGGGCGGCTGAGGTGGCGGTGGCCTGCCTTGAACTTTTCTGTCTCCTTCTGGCCACGGCATATGTCCAAATGGCAGCAAGGTTGCCAAGATCCACCTGAGGGGCCACGACTGGTCCCGCCCACCATGTTGGCTGCAGGAGCCACTGTCTTAGAGTGGCCCCATGTGGGGCTGAGTCCTATACATGCCCCCAGCTGGATGCTGTGTCAACAGGGCCATCTGTGACTTGTTCTTTCCCTGCAGTCTCTTCTGCTGGAGCTCAGAAGTCTGTAGGAATCTCAGGTGTTGAGTCAGAAATGCTGAAATATCCTGAATCACTCCTTTCCCTCAGCCCATTCTCCTTTTGGGCCCCTCTCCCAAAGGAAGTATTTAGTTCTGTAGTTTGACATTCTGTGTGCAAGACTTAGGGTACACACATCGTATGCTCAGAGGGGGAGCCCTGGTGCTCAAATAAATCACAGCATCCGTTAATATTTTGGCAATTCCTCAATTCACAGCTTCCTGTGGGCCATCAGAAAGAACACAATAATGGTAACAATAATAATAACCAGCCTTTATTCAGTTACTGACTAATGGCAGGTTTTCCTCTAAGGGTGTTATATGAATCAACATATTTCATCTTTACATAACCCCAGGAAGTAGGAACTATACTAGGTTTGGGGACTCGAAATTTTGCAGATTTTATAAAGGTAATGACTGCCTGGATTGTACAGTGTGGTTATGGTTGGTCCCCACTCAAACTCACACTGAACCTTTGTCCCCAAGGTCAGGACCCTGAGAAGTGGTGGTGCCTTTTCTCTCAGGAAAAGGTTAACGTAGTTCCCACAAGAGTGGTTCCTTATCTTTTTTTTTTTTTTTGTACCAGGGATTGAACTTGCGCTTGCGAGGTGGCAGAACTGCTGAGCTAAATTCTGGCCCCCTGTGGCTTCCTTGTCTTGGCAGCTGGTTGTCGTAAAACATTCATCCTCTTTTATTCTCTCCTCTCTTTTACACACACTTGCTTCCCTTCGACTTTCTGCCATGAATCAGAGCAGCATGAGGCCCTCACCAGAAGCCAAGGCAATGCTGGTGCTTTTAGATTTCCAGAACTGTGAGCTAAGTGAGCCTCTCTCTTCATAGATCACCCAGGTGTCAGTGTTCTGTTACAGCAAAGGAAAATGGACTAAGCCACTTTCACCGTTGTTTTCGGGAGCGTATACTCCCCATATCTAATCAGGGCAGCCCATTCCTCCTCCGGATTTTCTTTTTTTTGCTGCTGCTGTGCTTCTACTGCTAGAAACTTCGGGATGCTCTCCCCTGTGCCTGGCC